CTTTACAGTACAGTATTTCATTTGTTTAGTTTTTTATTACATTTTTGTATCATCTTTTTTCTGCTGTAAACACCAGAATTTCCCCATTGTGGGACAATAAAGAGATTTTTTATTCTCTCTTCTATTCTAAATGTTCTTATATGTTAATGTAGCTATATATTTTACACTACAATCAGTCATTAATGCACACACTCACACTTATGGTTGAAAGCTGTGTAGCTATAGCTACCCTCTGACCTCCATCACCAAGCATTGTGGGTTAGGCGTCTTGTCCAACAACAAGAAGACACTGAAAGCCTGAGCCGGGCTTTGAACCCACAATGCACAGTAAACTCCTTTATCTGAGGTCACTGTCACCCCAAGAAGTTGGTTTGTTTGTGATGAAGCAGGAACTTAATTTCTAGGAGCGTACGATCTATACTTGGGTTTTAAACTCAAAGAGGCCTATTTGTATACTGGGAGCTTTTTTTTTGAAGAGATTTTCTGTTTAAACACAGCGCTGATCTGATCAACTTGTTTCTTCCTAGAGGAATATGATAAGGGAATATATTGATGGAAAGAAGTTTATCTCATTACTTTATTACTTTTTTTTTTTTTTTTTTTTTTTTTTTGAAGTTTCTCATATAGCATTATTCCAGCAAGATTGGATTTTGCCAATTTGCCAATTATTTTAGTTCATTCAATTTGGTTTATTCCATGAAGAGAGATCAGAGGAAAAGACAACATAGGGAGAGAAATAATTGCCTCTCATCAGGTGATCCTGTATTTTGCTATAGAGGCTTTAAAAAACGTTTTAGAGCAATTAAAGCAGCACTACAATTGGCCTGCATTTATTTAATTGTACTTTAAGGTTACATTAGATTTCTTAGAGCAAATTTAATTTCACCAATGCAGCGGTTTGCCTCTATCATAGTATCAAAGCATTTCAAACATTTTTACTGTTTTAACATTTTTTCATGGAATAAAGCTGAAGAACATACTTAGTGCTTTTTTATTTATGTAATGATTTTTTATTTATTTAAGACTGTATCCATCAAACTAAATAAATATTTTCTTTTTTCTGAACGAAAATGCCAATGCTGTAATAGTAAAACTTTAGATGAGTTAACTGTTATTTTTAAAGAAAAAATATCCTCTAACCCCTTTTCTCCCTTGGGGTTTCTCGCCTTGTGCCTAAATTCAGTTTTCAACCAACAATATTTTACCTTTATTTAATTAATTACTGTACAACTTATTGTAACTTTATTTTGTCAGCATTCACTGTAGAAAAAGTCACATTGTACATGCTGAAAATCTGCCACTTCTCATCACTTGCTGTGTAAGTGCTAAGTCAGCTAGTTAAAATACAATTGTGCTCTAAAAAACACAAACCAATAGAAACTATTGCCCCCACAGTGTGCTCCCAAACATCTGCTTGGGCTCAAATCAAATCAAATCAGTCTAAAACCATTTAGGACCACAATTCAACAATATCTCAGAAGCACTAAAAAGCACCTAAAACTGAAGGAGTTTGACTTATCTCATCAGATGAGACACATTAAAGCCAAATGTCAGGAGAGATTTGTAACAGATCTATAGCTGAACTGACCCTCTGATCTGCAGATAAATGTAGTCCTAGTAGAATGTATTAGTATGTATAACATGCATGCCAAACCTTTTAAAGCGTTGGACTTTTATCATTTCCTACCTACATCATTGGCCTCTGTTTTATATCATGGTACTGATCTGTATTTATTGCTAATTGAATTATTTTTGCCTTAGAGTATTAATTTTTATGCTCCATCAATAAAACATGATTGAATAGTTTCAAAGTACTAACTAAGACATGTTGCAATCTATAAACTGAAGCACATCTTTACCTCTTCACATCGAATAGGAAAATCAGATTTGCAGGATATTTTTAATCCTTTCCGCCCAAGCTGTGGAAAGATTTGACCCAAACAGTCACAGACACTGTGGATGCACACTTCTTACATGTCAATTGATCAGGGGCTGCATTGAGAACAGCAGCTGCAACCTTTTTCTGTGGTTAGCGCCGCGTCTTTACAGTAATTGCTCACACAATTCATGACAGAAGCCGTAAGGTATGACTAAAGAACATCCAATTTCAGGGCTCTCCTCCTCAACCTTGTCTCATCTATGGAGATGGGGTGATTAATTTTCTGGCCGCTTCCCAATGTGAATGTGTGCGCCTGTGTCTGTATAGCCAAGTATTTCATTATGTGCTGATCCCCTTTTATTCTCTGGTGTGTCTGCCAGTGCGTCTCAGTGGTGTTTTTGAATTCAGAGGAGGGTCTATGCCAGGTAGATCAGGCTCCTTCAAGGACAACCAGGTGCTCTAGACAATCCTACATTAAATGTCTTCTTTACTGGTGTAGCGAGCATTATGAAGCAGCTCAAAGTTGATAAACACCTTCTGAAAAAGAATCAAGCTGTTAGAAAATCATGCATGATTTTTTAAATGTTAATATTTTCAGTTCATTTATAGCCTTGATTTTGCCAGTATGTCATTGGGTTCAGACAAAATAAAAACAAGTTAATATCTATACCTACTGCAAACTCAAGTATTTGTTATTTTGCCTTATATTATTTTTATTTTGCTTATTTTAATCTATTTAAATTGTGTCAAATCAGCACAATAGGTGTTAGAAAGATGAAACCTGTTTATATCAAGGTTTTTATTTCAATATTTTTCTTTTCTCTCGTCCCACCTTTCATCCTTGTTCCAATGTTTAACTTACTGCCTTCAAATTACTTTCCATTGTCTTTGTAGATGAACTACTAAGTCCTACTGGATGAGTTTTTTCCTATGTGTTGGGGCATCCATTTGTGTAGCTGCTGATAAGTTTCTCCAGGATAGAAGTAGGAACAATCCTGGCATCGTTGAACTGCAGACAGTATGCCTGTGTGAGATTTTTGTGGTGTAAATAGAAGAATGAATGAACGATGGTGTCTTGAAAACTATCATTTCCTTCTTGATACTCTCCAGGCGTACCCAAAGTCGGCCCTCGAAGGCTGCTATCCTGCTGGTTGTAGAGGTTTTCCTGCTGCAGCACAGCTGATTTTTGATGATAGCAATACAGTAAAATAATGTTAATCAGTGGAAATGATTTTTGCTGAAGGAGGGAAATCTCTAAAGCAGGGTTCACCAACCTTTTTAAGGCTGAGGGCCACTTCAAGGGTACCGAGACGTAGGAAGGGCGACCATTACTGACCCATGAGCTGCAAGGGTTAGCGTTAGCCTAAACTTTGTTCATTATCAACATATTTTTATTGTTTCTGTTAATTTCTAAGTTTATTTAGACATTGTCATTTTGAAATCTCTATAAATGATTAAAAAGAAGAGCAACAGAATAAAATAAAATTTCAAACTTAGCCCACTGGTGGGTTGTTCTTTATTTAGAAGACTCTGAGGGCCCCCCATGTGGTCCTTGAGGGCACCTTGGTGCCCACGGGCACCGCGTTGGTGACCCCTGCTCTAAAGCTTGGAGGACAGCGGCCTTAAAGGAGTGACTTTGGGCAGGCCTGCTCTAGCCTAACAAGAAATGACATGTTCTTCCACCACATCATGTTTTCTTCCTTAGTGGACTGAAAAAAAACATTTTTTGTTTAGTTTTTTTTTTTTTTTATCAGGATTGCCTTGACTAGGCCAAGTAAAAGGACTTCTAGGTGTGAAGTACATCTTGATGTCTGCAGGATGTCACATATTTGGTTGTACTTCACTGGATGTACGCATTTACTCCTGGCGCACTTAAAGCGGAGGTCTGTTAGGCATGCTACTATAGTTAGATTTTTGACATTGAGTACACAATGACTGAAACTTCCCTGTGGGATAAGTCTGCTTGGCAGGAATGACATATGTGTCACTGAGCCTTATGTGGTCAGTGATATCTGGCAACAACCCATTGCTTAGAGCAACCAGTCTGGAGAATGTGCAGAGTCACTGACACATTCTGCATTGGACATGCAGGTGTGTGGTGGGCTGCCTTGGTTTTTATTTATCCAAAGCTGTGAGGCAAGTTAGCTCTTCCTCCACATGCTATGATCCCGTAGCTGAAAGGAAATGTGTCACAAGAAATATAAAGAAGAGGTACACCTCTCATTGTAATCTATTCCCAGGGATGTGCTCATACTTGAGTCCTTTTACCTGTTCAACTCAAGAGAGTTCCCAAGACTGTGTGGGTCAAGTTTCCATAATGTCATAAAAGGGTGATGCTAGTATGACAATAGGAAGTAGTTTATATACAGAAGGGACAATATCGCAGGTAAGACTGGATTGGAAGATAAATGGAGCTAAATACAAACAATACAGATGGAGGTTGAATGAAGGCAAAACTTCCAAAAGATCGGCCACCCGGAACATACAGCAAGATCTATAATGAATAGCTCAGAATATAGCATTTTCATGTTTTAGAAAGATTTAGTCAAAGTCCAGACCTAAATTTAACTGTGTTGAGACTTAAGCCCCTAAATCAGGGGTGGGCAACTCCAGTCCTGGCGGGCCTGTATCCTGCAACTTCAAGATATGTCCTTGACTTAACACACCTGAATCAAGTAAATAGGTCATTAAAAGGACTCTGGAGAAATTGACTGCATACTGGACAGGTAATTCAACCATTTGATTCAGGTGTGTTGGACCAAGGATGAATCTAAATGTTGCAGGAAACCGGCCCTCAAGGACTGGAGTTTCCCACCCCATCCTTAAATACAAGTCTGACTCATGCTGCAGGTGAGTCAGAGTTAACTTTTGGGGCATGATGGGAAAAGCAGCACAGTTTTCTTCCTCTTCAAAAATAAGCAACAATTAAGTTACTTCTCGAGCCAAAGCTACATTAGGGAAGGGAAATTATAACATTGCACTTCTTTTGACAGCTGGCTCCTAACCCTACATTTTGCAAAGCTAAAGTGCTTAAAGAAAAAAGCAGCTGCTGTGCTTTCCATTTGTGCTCAATTTTCATTCTTTTTCCACCTTTTTTGTCCTTCCTTTTATGCTTCCCCAGGTGGACTTTGCTTTTATTGTGTGGCAAAGTTTTCCGGAGCGGATTGTCGGTTATCCAGCAAGGAGCCACTACTGGGATAGTTCCAGATCACGCTGGGGCTACACCTCCAAGTGGACTAATGACTACTCCATGGTACTTACAGGAGCAGCCTTTTACCACAGGTACAAAGCCATGACTGACTTCCAGCTGATCAGCAAAAGCCTTGCACTAGTTTTATTCACATAATTTCCTTTCCTTTTACCCTTATTTTTCTTTTTAAAAAATACAACCAGAGAACAAAATTAATGCATTAAGATTAAAAACAGTAATGCATGTTATTTGGTGCCCAAACAGCCACAGCAGCTTTTAAATAAACCATTAGCAGAGATTTTCTTATCTAAACCTTTTTGTGATTTTTTTCCAGTTAAAAAATAGAAGTACATACATTCTCACTTTTACATTTTCTAAAATGGCTTATTGGCTTACTAAAAAAGTTATGTCATATTTATGAAGATATATTGTAAAAGAAAGTTTTTAAGAACTAATTTAGATCAAATGTAACATATATATATATATATATATATATATATATATATATATATATATATATATATATATATATATATATATATATATATATATATATATATATATATATATATATATATATATATATATATATATATATATGTATGTATAAAATAATGTGTCATTTTGACAGTCAGGGTGTTGGAGCATTTTTCCACATTGAGCTCCTTCAGAGCATCAGTGGTGAACACTGCAGAGGAACCAGCAACCTGCACAGCTTGACTGAACTCATGAACCACATTTTGCATTCGGAACAACCTACTAACTGTTTGGAGTTACATAAAAGGATCTCACCATTATAATGGCTGTGCAAATAGACAGGCTTTCCATCGTTTGCAGTAATGGTTGTTATTCTAAAGCTGTAGGCACTTTTGATTGTATTTCTTCTAAAAGGACTTCAGTCATTATAACATCTTCCTTACACAGCGAGCTACCGCATTAGGGGTGTCCATTTACTGTGGTCATTTTACTATTATTTTTCTCTAAAGGCGAATATGAATCAAAACAGGTTTCGGTACTACCCTGTTATCTTTGTGTTTGTCAAACATAAAAAGCTAAATAAAAAAAAATAGAAAATTCAAGTATGTAGCAGAGCAGTAAATTGAACAGCAGAGAATGTTCCTTTCCAAAGGGATTTTAGGGTGTCTTGTCACGCAGATAAATGGCTTTCCCTTCACTCTATTGTTTGGATGCTGAATGCACCTCTTTAGTCCTTTTGTTATTTGGTCTCTCAAATGCCAACAAAAGCAGACAACACGAATTAGAGGTGGTGTGTGTGCGTGTGTGTGTGTGTTCGTAAGCGAGTGACTGCAGACCTTGGCAGGGAGGTAAAAGACCTGACAGTGATCTAGTGCTCCCATGCTGGGAGTGCAACACAACAAACATAACTGAATATAAGGAAACAGAATAGAAGCTGTTAAGGGATGGATCCAGTACGGTAAATCTCATCTACCTCTTTGTGTTCAGATACTACCACTACCTGTTCACTCACTACATCCCAGCCAGCCCGCTGACCATGGTGGACCACATGGCCAACTGTGAGGACATCCTGATGAACTTCTTGGTTTCAGCTGTCACTAAGCAGCCTCCAATCAAAGTCACACAGAAGAAACAGTACAAGGAAGCTATGATGGGCCAGGTAACAGAGGTTCATGCTTCGACATTACCCATATATCATTTCACTTATATGTCCAGTTTTTAGCTTTACGTTGAAATGTCCCTAAAAGTGGATTGCAAATTAACTACAGGATTCAAAGCAAGTTATTGTAATGCATCCATTTCATCTATCCATCCACTTTCAGTCATGCTTATCCCAGCTGGGGTTGTGAGGGGGGGTATATATACATATATACAAACATATACATCCTAAACAGATGCCAAAGCCACCTCAACTGGCTCCTCTCGACGTGGAGGAGCAGCGGCTCTACTCCGAGTCCCTCCCGGATGACCGAGGAGCTTCTTACCCTATCTCTAAGTGAGAGCCCCGCCACCCTACGGAGAAAACCCATTTCGGCCGCTTGTATCCGCGATCTCAGAATGATCATATATATATATATACATACATATATATATATATATGTATATATATATATGTATATATATACATATATATATATACATATACCATATACCAAGTCAATTAACAGAAGAAGTTATAATTAGAAAAAGAACCCACTGGCTAAATAGAGAGAAATGCAGTAACATTTGGACGGCTGAAAAGAAGGGCCAAAGTGCTGGTGACAACATGTCTGAAGATCCCCAAACACCCTACTGAAGTAACTTCATGGTACAGGGGTGTATCTCCTACTATAATGTCAGGCATATGCATTTTATCCCTGAAATTGTTAATCAGTTTGCATAGGTCAAAATAGAGTTATGTGGCCTGATAAAAGAATCTAAAATATATGTTTCCAAATCATTAGTTGAGAAATATGTTGTGTTAAGACCATCCAGATTAACATTCAGGAATTGCCAGTCTAATAACTATTTATATCTAAAGAAGACATGTAAGGCTACATCAAATAACCTACTTCAAGTTTGATGACTTCATGCAGTGCAGATGTGAAGCAGCTCTAAGCAATAGCAGCCTTGAAATGTAACATTAGTTCAGGGATTCACCAACAAAGCCAAAAATGAGGAGCATTATTTTGACATCAGAACATTACTTTTCTTGAGGATAATTTTCTTAAACTACTGAGACAAATTAGCAGTCAGTGTCCCTTGGCTTGACTGACGCATCTTTCCTGTGGTCTCTCCAGACCTGATGACACCAGTGATAACTGTAAACAATATTTGAGGTATTGATGAACAAAAAAAATAATAAAACTAAATATAACCAATTCCAGATTGCTGATTTAATTGTCGTTGTTAATAAATTTGAAGTTGTCATTTGAGCTATTAATTCATATTTTCTCCTTCTGGTTAGGTAATACAAAATCAAACAAAAAAAGTAATCCAGTTGAGGATGGAAAAAAAAATGAAAATGTATGTTTTCCATCTTTGATAACCACAAGTTATTAACATGTATAATAGGTTTGTATAGTCAGGTAAAAAATTCTGTGTTAAAAGACCAAACTTTCCATGTGCTGCAAATGTTTCAGGTGCAGCATCTAATGTAATATACGAATGGGTTCAATGTTTGGATACTTTGGTGGGGATATAAAAAAAAATAAAACAGCTGTATTTATTACTATGCTGCTTGAGAAGTACAGGTCAAGACCTCTATCTGTCACCTTTGAAGTGTTTATAAAAGCAGTCTGTTCCTAAAGAAGATAAAAACCTGAAAGCAGATCTAGCAGTGGCCATTTTTGAGGTTAAAACTGTGCTAGCCTTCTCTATGGGAAAGCCCAACATGTATGGTTTGTGTGTGAAAGTGTGTGTGTGTTCACGTGGCCAGCTCAGTGTCAGGTTCTGATTGATGACCTGACCACAGGCAGGACGATGACTCTGCAGTATAAACTCAGTGATTAATGTCTTAATTGTGAAGGCAGCACAGCAAACCAAGATTTACCCCTGACTTCACTCATTTCACTTTTCCTGCCTCCCTCCTCCTCTCAACTGTTGATTTGTGACTTTGCTTCAAGCAACACTGGCAAGGCATTTAGCATCAAGAACGTGGAAGTTGCTGAAATGTTTGGAAAACTTTAAACAACAACAACAGCTTAAATAAATTACCACAAAGCAAACAAGAAATAGGGTAATGCCAAACCACTTCTTTCACTTGATTTGTTGTAGTTCAATTATCCTACCTGACCTCCAGCTTCTGCTGCTGCTGGATCAATCTCTTCATCCCAATGACAAATCTGATCAAAAGGTCTGCTATCCTCTACTTTCCCCTCAGAACGATCATAAACCCTCAGACTCCTCCCCTGCAGCCAATATATATTAATTAGAGAATCAAACAAAAGAAGCAGAAGATTCTAGTGTTCCGGACTAAAAAAAAACAACCTTCCATTCATTATCCCCAGGCTTGCAGCTCATGAAAGTTGTATACATTTGCATGCTTGAAAACTACAAATGTATAAAAAAGGAACCAAGAACAAGGCAGGAAAAATCCCAGCAGAAAATTGCCAGGATAGATGATTAGAGCACACCAAGCCTGCAGTTCATACTAAAGTAACATTTTATACTAGTTTATATCCAGTGATATGCAACCGATGTCCAGCCGAACCACCCAATTTCCATCCTTTGACTTCTACTAAAGATCTGAATTGGGCTATTTCCTTATGAAATTCTAAGTTGGATCCAGCAGATATAGTGTAATAGCATCCACAGCTTCAACAGTTACAGTAGAAGCCATTCAAAATGTCCCCGCTTTCCTTGATAGGCCCTTAGCTGGTCCTTAGCTGGTCGCCTACAATTCCTTTTTAAACATCAATATTTGTACTAAAATATTCTTTCAGTCAAGATTTGTGGACATGAAGATCTAAAGAGAAGCGTCATTTCCTGGTCAGACCCTGTAATTTGTTGAAGGGCGGAGTCAGAGTAAAAAAATATGCAAGAGGAGGTCGATCCAGTGGCTGGAAGTTGGAGGGGATTTCGCTGGGAGTTGGAGGGAAGAGGGCTGCCATTCGGCTGGCGATTGACTGGAAAGGGATATTTTGAATGGCTGCTTACTGTAGGTCAAATCTCCACACAGAGGAACATTGTAAATAACTGTGCTCTTTTTTTTCTAACTTCATGCTGCTGTGTGGTCATGATATTGACAGCTCTTGTTTTTTTTCCACATAATAACACATGGATGCCAGCCTCTTTTATTAATTTTGCAAAATGAGTGAAATTGACATTATATGTCACTGTATGTAGGTTGCTTTGGGGTTGGGAACCAATCAGACTTAAGTCTGGTGGCAGTTTAGGGCAACAGTGGCTTTGGATGCAGGAGTTTGCCCTGCAACCGGACGGTTGTCAAGCCCCGGCCCAGGCTTTCAGTGTCGTAGTGTCCTTGGGCAAGACACTTCCCACGTATCGTCTACTGATGGTGGTCAGAGGACCCAGTGGCGACTGTGTACATCAGCCACTCTTCTGTCAGTGAGCCCTAGGAAAGCTGTGGCTACAATGCAGTTTGCGATCATCAGCCTGTGAGTGAATGGGTGAATGACTGAATGTAGGGCGCTTTGGTCAAGTCTCCTGATTTGAAAAAGTGCTATATAATGGCAGGCTATTTGAAAATAAATATCAGTATAGATGACTATGCAAAAAAAAAAAAAAAAAAGAAAGAAGAATCTGAATTTAGCAATAACACATATGTTGGAAAATACCCAAACATTTGTTATAAGAACTAATTTTCTTCTACCACTCAAGCATTATTGGTCTTTTGCCGTTTGTTTTACCAGCAAGTTTGAAACGTAAACACTTCCAGCTAATGCTAAACATGATGAATGGAAGGGAGGGCTAACAGAGTGATAGAAAAACTAAATGTGTAGTCAATAACCCACAACGAGCAAAAAACAGTCACAGCTAAAGGGGTGTGCAATTATATACAATATATACCAAAATAATAATATGGTTCACCAATTATAATTTGGAACAAAAATTTCAGAGGTTTTGTGCCAAATATTTTACCCTTGCATTGAGTGTAAGAAAGCAAAGAACCAACATTTATGTTATACTTCCTGGTTCAACAACCAATAAAAGGTGTCAATAATACTGAAGGTTTTTTTTTAAACTTTTGGCTGAAAATATGAAGTCAGGTATTAAGCCTAAACTTTCTCAGTTTAAAATAAATATTCTTAAAAGCATTCATTTGAAGACTTATAAATTTAGAAAACAAATGCTATGTGTTAGTTAGTAAAAAGGAAAAGTCTTAACATTTTTTCTTTTTTTTTTTACAGTGTCCTGAATAATTATCTTGATGCCAAAAAGATCCCAACAGATTTTACTTTCACAAGTGTAGCAGTATGGCAATTGCCATATTGCTCCACTTGTTTCATGCATATAAATTGCTTTATTGTAATTATGCAGGGAGATTTACAGATTATATGGACACTGCAATGTAAATAGGGCAGAAAAACAGAAGAAGAAAAGGAAAAAGGGAAAAAAAGAGAAAAGATGAAAGAAAGAAGAGATAGAAAGGAGACAATGACAAAACATTTTCAGTCTGCTTCATCACCTGTAATGAGATGAAAAAAGAACAGCACAACCGAAAGACATGGTACGAGACATACAATAAAGCAACACCTTGAAACTATCGCTAAAGTAATATTATTAAGTCTGACATGTACTCTGTGTTACCTGAAGATATGAATGTGGGGTCTTAACATTTAAAAGAAGAAAAAAAACAGTAGTTTAACTGCTAAGATTGAAAAACTGCCATAAGCAGGATCGCAGACAACCATTTTAATGTATCATTCTCTCTTTCTTTTCTTTTTTCTTCTCCACACCAAGGGCTCTAAGGCATCTCGTTGGGCTGACCCAGACCATTTTGCACAGCGACAGACCTGTATGAACGCCTTCAGCCAATGGCTAGGCTTCATGCCCTTAGTACACTCGCAGATGAGGCTGGACCCCGTCCTGTTCAGGGACCAAGTTTCTATACTGAGGAAGAAGTACAGAGACATTGAGAGACTCTGAAGGCTACAATCAAACAGCATTTCAGAAACATAGAGTCATCCTTCCTCTCAGTGGGAAGGAAACATATGAACTGAATGGGATGCTATGAAACGGAAAGCTAGGAGTGATGTATATGAAGGATAAGGAAATGTTTGTTCTTGTGAAAAAAATGTGAGAAAATTGCAGGGATGCGGTAACAAGCCAAATGGTCACCCACAATATTAAAACCAGCACATTTATCTGGAGTCGGCCCAATATCTACAGAAAAATGGCTAGAAGCATAATTTGAGGGTTTGCACAGATTTGATTTGTGGTTGCTCCACCTGGATAATCAGATTCAACGCATTTCACTCTTTGCTTTTCCAGTCAATATGCTGCAGTGAGAGGATCAATTACTCATATAGCCTGTTAGTGGCTTTAAAGATGTGGCTGATCAATGTGTGTGAATGCATGAAGGAAATGTACAACAAAAAACCTAGATACATACACGTTCATGATCAAAGACAAAAGTAAAGTGTTTCATGGTTTAAAGGAAGTAATGTATACTGTGCAATACATGAGATATGTTTAGAAAAAAGAAAGAGTCAAATTCCTTCTAATGAGGTTAGATGTGTACAGAAATCAGTCAAAGGGGACAAAAAAGAAACTCCAGAAGACAAAAGGTGACTTGCCCCTTGTAAACTATTGTACAATCTTTAGCAGCAGTTGCTCCCTGTATAAAACACCCATAAAGGAAAATTAAATAAAGAAATGTTATATAGAAGAAAGCAGAGTGTCAAGTTTCTTTTTTTTTCTTTCGAGTTTTTTTGCATTTGTTTCTACACAAAATAATTGATCTTAAACCATTTTAATAGTACAGATTGATACATAGCGACAAACAATAGTATCTTTATTAAGAAGGCTGATTAAATAATAAAACACTGATTCACATATAAAATCAAACATAATTTATAGAGCAGGGTTCTTCAAGTCCTGACCTCGTAGTCTGGTGTCCTGTACATTCTAGATGTGTCACTGCTTTGGCACACTTGAACCAAATAATCAGGTCATTAGCAGGACTATGGAGAACTGCAAATTGCAGCCCATTGCTGAATACGAATTCAGCGACTGCGTCCTCCAAATGCCTGTCCGGACTGGAAGACTCTTCATTCGTTTTGGACGTTTGGAAATACCGGTCTGCTGTCTCCTCTGTTGCCTTGATTCATTACGAGTTCAAGCAAACCAGTTGCCTCATGCTCAGAGGAAAAAGGTAAATGGCGCCAAACAGTGGTGGTTGAATATTCTAAGTGGAGTTCAAGTATGTGAATAGTTCAATTCAGTTTATTTATATAGTGCCAATTCACACCAATGTGATCTCAAGGCACTGTACAGTTCATCAGTTCATATAGTCAAATTGATTAAAAGTTTTCTAATTTTTTTTTTTTTTAACCAAACACTAGAATGGTGTTTTATGGTTGAATGGTTCAGGGGAAAAAGACAAGGATATCTATAATAATTGGACAGAAATAAAATAAATTTGGTGATTTTTAGAGTGACTTGTTCCATTCAATGAAATGTCAAAATTATATTTGTGTAAATGATTGAACTTCATTTGTATTCAAGTATCCCATTATTTTATAAAGATTTAACTTTAACACCCAATGCCATCATGCTGGAGTTTTTGAGTAAATTGTATTTTAATTTTTTTTATGTTTTGCAAAGTACAAATGAAATATCAAGTTAATAATAGGATGATGTTTTTCTCATATTTTCATCCATAGGCTGTATTAAGATGTGAGCAATTTTATGCCATTTTCTTCGATCATGCATCAAGTTAAAAGATAATTGTAAAACTTGGGGCATATTTTAAATAACTTTTAAAGATATGGGCTCTGACAAAAACACATGAGGAGCCCTTTCTCTCTGATGGTAATTTTGTTGTGGGAGATTCATAAACTGGTACAAATTAAGTATCACCTCCTGCATATTCATTGTTTCGTCTGCATTCGCTCCATCGGAATGGGTTTTTGAAGCAAAAACAAAAAGCCTCCTGACTGCACAAAACTGTCAACGGGGAATCTAGACTGTGTTAACGTCTTGCAGACAGTTTCTTTTAAAGAAACAAAACAGAGGCAGTTATCTTTTTGAGAGGATGCTAAAAAAAACTTTGTCTGCACTGTGATCAATACTGGTCAGCGTTATTCACTGGATGTGATCCTCCATGTGTTCCCCCAGGAGGCAAGTAAAAACCGTTTCATTTTTCATTGTTTGGACTTATTGAACATGAACACGGATCCACTGATGTAAGAGGATGTCAAAGAGATAAAAAAAAAAAATTGTAATCTACCCATGGGACTTTTAAAAGGCATAGCTTTTAAGTGATTGGAAAAAAAGAGAAATCTGTATCTCCCTGGAGATCAAAAAAAGAAGTGGGGATGGATGACTTCTCCTTGAGAATTGGATAAAACATAGCAAAGAGAGTTTTTAAATATCTTTTTCCCAAAGCTGTTTTACAACTAAACACAGAATTAAAGTGATATATGCACGCTCAGCAACATTTAGTGGAAAAAGCCCCAAACATATCATACACACAGGAGTATTTAAACCACCACAATTAATGATTGTCTAATGCTGACTCAAGTATAATTAATAAATAGTTAAAAGAGAAGGTTTGAACAAATTTAGATGATTTTGTTTACTCTGTATGCTATAAAAAAGAGACAAAGGAAACTCTATTATAAAGTGAGAGAAAAAAAACAGTTGTGCAAAATGTCAGAAAAATATTTAATTGCAGCACTATTGCATACAACTTCAACCATAATATGGATAACATGAACACTAATGCCTTTTGTCCATTCAACTGTCAAAATGTATTGAAAAAAGAAAATATGACAGTGTCATGTTATTTCCAAATCGCATAAACGGAATTGTGAGAATAGATTGTGCAACTTTAAACATTTTCTTACTTTGTAATTTTAATACTACCAACCGTATGGTATTTGACTTTTATTCAGGTATATAACAATTATGCAAACATGCACCAGCTTTTCTGGGCTTTCAAAGTCATTGTTGAAAACGTCCTGCCATTCCTGTCCCACTTTGTGCAGTTGATCATGTAAAACAATTCAAATTAGTTCCTGCATACCATGACATCCAAGATGACAATCTAAAACAAATTAGAAAGATTTTAATTTTCCAGCTTTACTTTGACTTTAAATGAGAAGCTTTATCAAATCTAATCTCAATCAGTTTTCATTAAATCTTTGAACTTATCAGCAGTGCTGTCTGACCACAAAACTAAACAGAGACAAATCTGTAACATCCATCTTTTCTCTCTATTACCCATCTGACTCAATCAGTCCCAGTCCTGACAGCAAGCCTGTCCTCTCCTTTCATCTTGCTCCTCTTTTCAAAGCTGTCACATCCATCTTATTCTTTGCAGCTCCATTATACAGTGTAACCCAAATAAAATAAATGCATGAATAAGTCGTTTATGTGATCCATAGAGTTCAGATAATTATTCACATTTCCATAAGAAGAGGCACTCATTGATTTATTGTGACCCTATGCAGTTTCCAAGGTTATGGAATGAGAAATTGATTGGTGGTGAGCTGGGATGGAGAGAGGAACAAACTCTCACATTATCCAAATATTCAAATCTCTCACCAGCTCTCTTTTTCTCCCTGCCGCCATGCCTCAAATATCCGTGACCAAATGGACTTATAATTGGAAGTCAGGAGGCCCAGAAACACTCCCACACCTTCTCACAGTCACACAGATATTAGTTCTGGTGAGTTATGTGGTTGATCTAAGCATGTGGAGAGAAAATGAAAGAAAGAAGTCATTAGGTGTTCTGTTCGTGTGAGAATTTCTCATCCTCCAAGTTTTTAATTCTTTTAATCTGTTTTTTTTTGTCAGAGTTTCAAAAGCATTCAACTATTTTTCTGTTCACTTTATACCAGTGTCTGTTATATTGGTTGGTTATACGGTTTTGACCCAAAGTTTGTGTTTATTAAGATATTCCATAAACAGGGTCATTAGGTTTTCCTTGCGTATGATGGAAGTTTCTCCTCGTTTGGACTGAAATGTCTGTGGATTTATACACTTGTTTAGGAAGTCGTATCAGATAGCAACGACAAAAAAAAAGCTCAGCCGGGCCCAACAGAAAAACATTTAAAATGTTATTGAAATATACGTTTTTACATTGGGAGGAAGCCACTGGCAGTAATATCAGTAACCTCTGAAGGAAGAAAGATGATGGCAGGCAGAAATGATCGGTTAGGAACAAAAGGAATGATCAGATCCCTTATATAAGATGGAGCTTGGCCTTTTAAGGCTTTATATTTGTGAAGGATGATTTTAAATTCTAATCACCAAGGATTTCTCTAACAATCACTTTTTGTTTTGATAAAATGCAACCTCAGTCTCAGGCAGTGTTTTGACAATAATTGAAAAGGCAATTTAAAGTATCACAAGTAACAAATGATATAAAACCTTCAGTTACTATTTTTAAATATATATTATATATTTTTAAGGAATAAAGGGAGAAAATTAAGTTCTGTTAAAAAAAACAACTCTAAATCAAGTCACAGACTCTGCATTCCACTGATAACCAAAATACTGCATATTTGCAACATATATATATATATATATATATATATATATATACATATATATACATATATATACATATATATACATATATATACATATATATACATATATATACATATACATATATATACATATATATACATATACATATATATACATATATATGTATATATATGTATATATATATATATATATATGTATATATATGTATATATATATATGTATATATATATATATATACATATATATACATATATATATATACATATATATACATATATATATATACATATATATACATATATATATATACATATATATACATATATATATATACATATATATACATATATATATATATATACATATATATACATATATATATATACATATATATATATATATATATATACATATATATACATATATATATATACATATATATACATATATATATATACATATATATACATATATATATATATATATACATATATATATATATATATACATATATATATATATACATATATATACATATATATATATATACATATATATACATATATATATATATACATATATATACATATATATATATATATACAGTGGGGAAAATAAGTATTTGACCCTTTGCTGATTTTGCAGGTTTGCCCACTTATAAAGAATGCAACAATCTACAATTTTAATCATATGTACATTCTAACAGTGAGAGACAGAATCCCAAAGAAAATTCCAGAAATTCCCATCATATGAATTTATAAAAATTGATAACCATCTGATTAGCAAAAACAAGTATATGACCCCCTACCAAACAGCAAGTATTCTGGCTCCTACAAGCCAGTTATTCTTTCTTTAAGACACAGCCCCATCCCAACCAATTATCTACATCAAAAACACCTGCCTCACCTCGTTATCTGTATAAAAGACACCTGTCAACACCCAAACAACAAGCATCCAACGTCACCACCATGGGCAAGTTCAAAGAGCTTTCTACAGAGGTCAGTGACAGGATTGTTGATCTGCACAAGGCCGGGATGGGCTACAATATAATAGGAAAGCAACTTGGAGAGAAAAGATCAACTGTCGGTGCAGTTATCAGGAAATGGAAGAAGCACCACACCACCGCCAACCTCCCTCCGTCTGGGCCTCCACACAAGATCTCGC